TGGAACCCGCCTTGCAAGCCTTGGGGAGTCTGTGCAAGGGCTGAGCCCTCCGCGCTGGGGGGTGCTGGGCACCTTGAGGAGCAGGAGCTGGGTCCGGCCCTGCAAGGATCAAGCTGACCCAGGTGGGGCATTTGCAGCATGTGTAATCTGGGGAAGGGGGGGGGCTCCCCCATTCCCATGTGAGGGGGGGCATGCCTACCTAGGGCTGGAGCAGGCAGTGTTGCAAGGGTGGGGTAGTGCGTGCAGCCTCCGCGCTGGGGGGTGCTGGGCACCTTGAGGAGCAGGAGCTGGGTCCGGCCCTGCAAGGATCAAGCTGACCCAGGTGGGGCATTTGCAGCATGTGTAATCTGGGGAAGGGGGGGGGCTCCCCCATTCCCATGTGAGGGGGGGCATGCCTACCTAGGGCTGGAGCAGGCAGTGTTGCAAGGGTGGGGTAGTGCGTGCAGCTTATCAGATCGTGGTACACTAGGGCTGTGTCTGCACTGGCCACTTATTCCGGAAAATCAGCCGCTTTTCCGGAATAACTTGCCAGCTGTCTACACTGGCCGCTTGAATTTCCGGAAAAGCATTGACGATCTACTGGGAAAACTGGAAAACTGTTCTGGAAAAGGGCCAGTGTAGACAGCACAGATTTCTTTTCGGCAAAAAAGCCCCGATCGCGAAAATGGCGATCGGGGCTTTTTTGCGGAAAAGTGCGTCTACATTGGCACGGACGCTTTTCCGCAAAAAGTGCTTTTCCAGAAAAGCATCTTGCCAATGTAGACGCGCTTTTTCCGGAAATACTTATAACGGAAAACTGTTCCGTTTTAAACATTTCCAGAAAAGGGTGCCAGTGTAGACGTAGCCTAGTTTTTAACCTCTCCCCTTTGCTGAGAAAGAGGAGGGGCAGGGGGGGGTGCCTCAAATCTGCAGTGTCAAGCAGAGTCCGGAGCTAGCCCTCAGGCTCCATGTGGTGCTGCTGCTTTGAAATGCTGTGGGGAGCACTGGGCCAGCAGGGCACTGCTTGCTATGTCTACGCTGGCGGGTTCTTGCGCAAGAATGGCCGTTTTTCTGCAGAGCGTCCACACTGCCCGCCCGCTGTTGCATAAGAAGATTACAATAAGGTGTGGTAAGAGAGGACTTCTTGCGCAAGAGCTACGCTCATTTCTAACAAGTGCAAGCCCTTTTGCGCAAGAGCTCTTGCGCAATAGGGCAGGGTGGGCGCATGGCTGGGGTTTCTTGTGCAAGAAACCCCTATGGCTAAAATGGCCCTCAGAGCTTTCTTGCGCAAAAGAGTGTCCACACTGTCATGGATGCTCTTGTGCAAAAGTACATGGCAGTGTGGATGTGTTCTTGCGCAAGAACCTGCCAGTGTACACACAGCACTTGAGTCCCCCGCTGGCCCTATGCTCCCTGCAGGGCTTTCGCCTTTGAAGTGAAATCCCAGGGCTGCTGGTACACTTCAAAGGCAGAGGAGCCCTTATCAGCTAATCAAATAGTCAATGCAAATTGACTATTAGATTAGCCATCCCTCATGGTGGATTCTCCATCTCTTGATGTTTTCAAATCAATGCTGGTCGACTTTCCAGGAAACACGTTTTGGGGAAATAGAGCGTTGTGCCTCAGTAACTGAGTTGTATGGAATGGTCTATGACATAGAGGGGGGTCAGATTATACCACTTCAGAGCCTCTGCATTTTAGAATTTCATCCTACAAACATTCACCACACACATTTAATAATGAGCATCTGAATAGTATTAACTTCACTTTAATCTCTGTTGTGGAGAGGTTTTATAAAGTCTCTGTCAGTTTGATCTTGATGCGAGGGCTTACTTCTGTTACAAATAAATGGAGCTTTAAAAACAGGAGCCTAAACAAGATACCTTCATCCATGTTCAGGCAGATGAACATGTGGCTTTTTTTAATAGAAACACTGGGGCTATGTCTACACTCATGGCTTCTTGCACAAGTATGGACGTTATTGCGCAAGAATCTGCTCGCCGGCTCTTGCGAAAGGAAATTTACAGTAAGGTGTGGTAAGAGACTGTGCAAGAATCTGCTCACCGGCTCTTGCGACAGGAAATTTACAGTACGGCGTGGTAAGAGAGGGTTTCTTGCGCAAGAGCTATGCTCTTTTTTAACAGGTGTAAGCCCTCTTGCGCAGGAGCTCTTGTCCAAGAGGGCAGTGTGTAAGCTGGGCAGGGATTTCTTGCGCAAGAAAGCCTTATGGCTAAAATGTCTATCAGAGCTTTCTTACGCAAGAGAGCGTCCATACTGCCATGGGCGCTCTTGCGCAAAAGCACAGCACGCACATGTCAGTATGGACGTTTTCTTATGCAAGATGTTCTTGCGCAAGGAGCCACCCGTGTAGACAGCCTAGGTGCTCAGAACTAAATCCCATTGTTGCAAGTGCTGAAACTGAAGCCACCTTAACTTCAGGGCGTCCCTTCTCCCACCTTCCACCAGGTGTTGGCTATCCCATCCCATCCCTCTATCCCTTCTCCCACCTTCCACCAGGGCGGCACGGGTGTTGGCTATCCCATCCCATCCCTCTCGGGAGGGGGTGGGGACTTATACCCACCATCCTGCCCTCCCCAGCTGAAAGTATAGAGAGAAATGAATGTAGATTTGGGATCTATTTTTGTGTGTGTGGTTTATGGAATATTGAGATTCAAGCATTTGCCCAGAATGGCAGAGTCTAGTATGTGTGTCACCAAGGGCAGAGTCTGGGCAAAGATGGGGGTATGGAAAGGATTAAAACCCCTTCTGAAATGTCTCCCATTGCCCTTCTCCCTGACAGGCTGCAGGACACCCATGTCTTACTCCAGCGCGGCCCATGGCCTGACAAGCCAGGAACAGGAAATGGCTGTGGTGGAGCCGGTGAGCTTCGAGGAGGTGGCTGTGTATTTCTCTGAGGAGGAATGGGCTCTGCTGGATGCGGGTCAGAGAGCCCTCTACTGGGATGTGATGCAGGAGAATTATGAGGCCGTGAGCTGGCTGGGTAAGGATTCCTGTCCCCGCGGGTATCAGAAGTAGCGTGGGCTCTAGAAGAGCTGGGTTGGTTTGGTTCAGGGTCCCTGCTCCCTAATGTCAGGTGTATCTGCCACAATAAGCCTGGCTCCTGTGTGAGAGACTCTCCCCTCTGCACCCCCTCTCCTCTACTCATGGAGATGCTCTTGGGGAGGGAGAGGGCGTGAAGAAGGAGGGAACACAGATGCTACCAACAGCTGCTCCCCCACCTGGATGGCAGTAATGGTCATGCTCCCTAGAGGGGGCAGCCTTGTGCTGGGAGTGTGGGGGGTGGGTGGGGTAGAGTCCAAGTGCAAAGAGGTGTTGGGTGAGGGCATGGTGGGGTCATGAGGGTGTTAGCATGGGCTGTTGGGGTCAGGTTAAAGGGTCAAAGGACACCAGATGTAGTGGTGGGGGTGAAAGGGTGTCAGGCACTGGGAAGCAAGGGGCTGGGTTGGGGCTAAGTGGACAGACATCAATTTATTTGCATATTCTTTATTTGTGTAATGAATATACAACCATGCAAATTAAATATTGCCAGTCTGCCAACAGTTTATGACTGGGTTTGCTGCTCAGTAGTATCAAAAATGTTGGGAAACAATGCTCTAGAGAGTGCAGCAGAGCACTCAGATCCCCCAGGGAATATTCCCGAGGCTGGAGGGATGCACCTTTACTGCAAGTGAGTGTGTCCTGGGATCTTGTATCATCCAGAACCCAGTCCCTGTAAGGTGGGGAAGGAGCCTGTCTGGGTGGGTGACTCTGATTCTGGGTCTGGAAGTCATAATGGCACAGACCTTAATGAACAAGATCAGCACTTGGTTAATTGCTCCCTGAGCAGGATTTCCAGCCTCCACAGCTCATGCGATCTCCTGGGTGGAGCAAGGGGAGGAGCTGTGGATCCCAGATGTCCAGGGCTGTGAGGAAGGGGAGATCATCAGTGACCCCCACACAGGTGAGCAATCAGCTAAACTGACTCAGGAACCAATTTCTGTCTCCTCAGAGCAGGTGACACTTGTGCATTTTCATCAGGTCTAACTGACCCTTCAGCCTGTCTTCAACTCCAAACAGAGGGAGGTGTGTGGGGGAAGGTTGGGTTCTCTCCTTTGCAAAAAGAGATTTGAGGAAGGAGGATAAATTCAAGTCATGATTATTCACCCTTTATTTGGATGTGTTCTCTGTTCTCGCTTTTATGTTCCCCTTTCAGAATTCTCCTTTCAGCTCAGCACAGAGAATGACTCCTGTCTGGATTCTGTGTCTATCCCTGCAGGTGATTGGATGCTGAGTGAGAATAATGAGGAGAGTCTTCAGCAAGAAGAACCAGAGCAAGTGGCTCCATTTGGGCTATTACTAGGAAGATCTGAAGGATATGTTTCCCAGAGTTCTGAGCAGAAAGAGAGCTGTGAATGGCAGCAGGGAAATTATCCAGGAGAGGGACAGAAGCATGTTAAATCCAATCACAGGAGCAGAAGGAAGAAAAGAAAAACAGAAATCATGGAACAGAAAATCCTCCATCAACAAGCACCCTCTGCTTACAGTGACGGCGCAACTTTTATTGAACATCAAAGAGCCCACACAGGAGAGAAGCCCTTCACATGCTCAGACTGTGGGAAAAGCTTCAGGGAGAGCTCAGACCTAATTAGACATAGGAAAATCCATACAAGAGAGAAATCTTTTAGCTGCTCTGAGTGTGGGAAAAGCTTCAGTAAGAGCTCACACCTTATCACCCATAGTAGAATCCACACTGGGGAGAAACCCTTCAACTGCTCTGACTGTGGGAAAAGTTTTAATCAGCGCTCAAATCTTGTTAGACATAAGAGAACCCACACTGGAGAGAAACCCTTCAATTGCTCTGACTGTGGGAAAAGCTTCAGTAAGAGTTCAAATCTTGTTAAGCATCGGATAATCCACACAGGGGAGAAACCTTTCAGCTGCTCTGACTGTGGGCAAAGCTTCAGTACGAGTTCAAATCTTGTTAAGCATCAGATGATCCACACAGGAAAAAAACCCTTCAGCTGCTCTGATTGTGGGAAAAGCTTCAGTCAGTGTTCCTGCCTTACTAACCATCAGATAATACACACAAGAGTGACACGCCACAAATGCTCTGACTGCGGTAAAGGCTTCAAACACAGGTCAGACTTTATTAAGCATAAGAGAACTCACACAGGAGAAAAGCCCTTCAGCTGCTCTGACTGCGGGAAAAGCTTCAGTCAGAGTTCAGACCTCATTAGACATAGGAGAATTCACACAGGAGAGAAACCCTTCTGCTGCTCTGACTGTGGGAAAAGCTACAGTTGCGGCTCAGACCTTATTACACATTGGAGAAGCCACACGGGGGAGAAACCCTTCAATTGCTTGGACTGTGGGAAAAGCTTCCGTAAGAGTTCAGACCTTGTTGCCCATAGGAGAATCCACACGGGAGAGAAGCCGTTTAACTGCTCTGACTGTGGGAAAAGCTTCAGTCAGCACTCAAATCTCGTTAGACATAAGAGAACTCACACAGGGGAGAAACCCTTCTGCTGCTCGGACTGTGGGAAAAGCTTCATTCAGAGTTCAGACCTTATTAAACATAGGAGAATCCACATAGGGAAGAGACCCTATAACCTGAGTTCCCTTTAAGCTGTGTGGCCATGTGACTGTGCCACAGCCTATTCAATGTAATGCAAGTGCTTAGAGTTGTGGTGGGGAGAGATACTTCTACCCACTGGTCTCAACCCTAGCTCACACCTGCCATGGCCAGGGACAGTTGGCTATCCCTTGGTTCTGCCCACAGCTGCTATTGCAGGGAGAGGTGCCTCCCCCATCCTCACAGCAGCACCCAAGCTGGGGGGGAGTGAGCTGGTGGGAGTCTTCTTTCCCGAATATAGCTTTTCAGTAACCTATACTTCAAAGCCTTTCATGCTTGAGATCACACCCCCAGCTGGAGCTCTCACCCCAGCTGGAGCTGCACCTGAAATCTCTGTCTGAGGCCTTCACCTCTGGCCCCACCCCAGAGCCAGCCCTCACACCCATGCTCCCCGAGTCTTTCCCCCAGCCCTGAGCCTCTTTTGCACATCCAAACCTCTGAACCCCATTCCTACCACTTACTTCTGTGCACCAATATTGAGATGGTGTGTCACACATTCCCTGCCTATTGGTGCCCCCTAACAAAACTCATTCTGCACGCATGTGGGTAAAATTAAATGGAACACTGTGTATAACTAACCTGAGTGTGAAAAAAGCTTCAGTGAGAGTTCAGACCTTGTTAGACATAGGAGAATCCACACTTCAGAGAAATCCTTCAACTTCTCCTGTGCCACAACCAGTACCGCACCTTACACAGATGAAGGTTATCAAAGCCAATCTCATCAAATCCAAACAAAAAACAGTATTATGTAGCACTTTAAAGACTAACAAGATGGTTTATTAGGTGATGAGCTTTTGTGGGCTAGACCCACTTCCTCAGATCAAATAGTGGAAGAAAATTGTCACAACCATATATACCAAAGGATACAATTAAAAAAATGAACACATATGAAAAGGACAAATCAAATTTCAGAACAGAAGGGAGATGGCGGGGGGGGGGAGAGGGAAGGTAAATGTCTGTGAGTTAATGATATTAGAGGTGATAATTGGGGAAGCTATCTTTGTAATGGGTAAGGTAATTAGAGTCTTTATTCAAACTTAGGCGTAAAGTGTCGAATTTAAGCATGAATGACAGTTCAGAGGATTCTCTTTCAAGTGTAGTCTTAAAAGGCCTTTGAACAAAGCTGGCACGGGACATACCACACTAAATACCAACCCTGGTACCTTCCCTTGCAACAAACCCCGTTGCCAGCTTTGTCCACATATTCACTCTGCTGATACCATTATTGGACCTAACCAAGTGAGTTATAAGATCAAGAACACATATTCCTGCGCATCCAGAAATATAATCTATGCTATCATGTGCCGAAAGTGTCCGTCTGCTATGTACATTGGACAAACATCTCAGACACTTCGCCAAAGGATTAATGCCCACAAAACAGATATCAGACAAGATCACAAAGAAAAAACAGTTTCTTGCCATTTTAACCAGAAAGGACACTCTCTCAATGACTTGACCACCTGCATTCTGCTACAAAGACCTTTTACATCTGCACTTGAAAGGGAATCCTCTGAACTGTCATTCATGTTAAAATTCGACACTTGCCAACAAGGACTTAACAAACATTTGAACTATCTCACCCATTACCAAGACAGTTTCCCCAATTATCACCTCTAATACCATTAACTCACAAACATCCCACTCTCCCTACCTTTAATATCAGCAATTCACAGACACTTACCTTCCTTCCCCCTCCCCCCCACCGCATCCCCCTCCTGTTCTGCAATGTGATTTGTCCTTTTCATATTTGTTCATTTTTTTAAATTGTATCCTTTGGTATATATGGTTGTGACTACTTTCTTCCACTATACCTCCCGGCCATCGCCCTTCTGTTCTGAAATTTGATTGGTCCTTTTCATATGTGTTCATTTTTTTTAATTGTATCCTTTGGTATATATGGTTGTGACAATTTTCTTCCACTATTTGATCTGAGGAAATGGGTCTGGCCCACGAAAGCTCATCACCTAATAAACCATCTTGTTAGTCTTTAAAGTGCTACATAGTCCTGTTTTTTGTTTCAGCTACATCAGACTAACATGGCTACATTTCTATCACCATTCCAAATCCAAACAGGTTCTCATGATCCCCAAGGATCTGCCACATTTCCAGGTCAATTTATACCTTAGATCCTGCATCAGCAATCTTTCAGAGGTGGAGTGCTCAGATTTGACTTATTCAGCTCTATGTATGGGTCTGAGTGCTGGTGATACTTTTTAAAGTCAATAATAGTCCTATTTACAGCAGCTTCTTTAATAAATACATTTACATGTAAATCTTACCTTTTAGTGCAGGGGTTGGCAACTTTTCTGAAGTGGCGTACCAAGATTTAACCAATTTTTCACAGATCTTTGTGCCAGAGGAAGGAGAAGGAAGGGGAAGCAAGGGCAGGCTGGGTACAGTGACTTTATTTTCTGAACCAGCTGCAGCTAGGGAGAATGATTTAATTTAAATTAGGAAACAGATTACGCATTTTAATTTTCTCATGTTAGTTTATCAAACTTCATTTTAAATAAAGTAAAATATGATGTCCAACACAAAAGGTTTCAATGTTTTCTTTATTTATGGCAGAGGTGGGGAAACTTTGTTGGGTCGCGGATAACTGATCCACAGAAAAATCAGCTGGGGACCACATAAGTAAGAAGCAAAAAAAACCTCCAAAAAAACCCCAACTCTCACTAATGTGGCCCCCAACTGAGTCACCTCATTCCTCTGGTGTCCCAGACTCACAGGGTGAGGGGAAGAGAGAGTGGGGACTGATGTCCAAGGCTTCCCACAGACCAGGTTTACTTTTCTTGGGTTAGGGAGTTAGTGGATTTGTTGACCCCCTTAGGCTCTCAGGTAGGGACAAAAATGAGGGGTATACTGTGAGGCTGTGTCTAGACTGGCAAGTTTTTCCGCAAAATCAGATTTTGCGGAAAAACTTGCCAGCTGTCTACACTGGCTGCTTGAATTTCCAGAAAAGCACTGACGATCTCCTGTAAAATCATCAGTGCTTTTCCGGAAATACTATGCTGCTCCCCCGTTTGGACAAAAGTCTTTTTCCGAAAGACTTTTGCACAAAAGGGCCAGTGTAGACAGCATAGTATTGTTTTCCGCAAAAAAGCCCCGATCGCAAAAATGGCGATCGGGGCTTTTTTTGTGGAAAACCATGTCTAGATTGGCCACAGACGCTTTTCCGCAAAAAGTGCTTTTGCAGAAAAACATCCTGCCAATCTAGACGTGCTTTTCCGAAAATGCTTTTAACGGAAAACTTTTCCATTAAAAGCATTTTCGGAAATTCATGCCAGTGTAGATGAGCCTGAGAGACAGGGCTGCCAGCAGAAGGGAGAGAAATTGCAAGATCTGGGTGGGAGGTAGGATGCAGAAGCAGTCTGGGGCTGTGTCTACATTGGACCACTTATGCCGGAAAAGCAGTCGCTTTTCCGGAATAAGCTGCGAGCTGTCTACACTGGCCCCTTGAATTTCCTGAAAAGCACTGACGATCTACTGTAAAATTGTCAGTGTTTTTCCGGAAAAACTATGCTGCTCTCATTTGGGCAAAAGTCCTTTTTCTGGAAAACTGTTCCGGAAAAGGGCCAGTGTAGACAGCCCAGTAGTCTTTTCCGGAAAAAAGCTCAGATCACGAAAACGACGATCGGGGCTTTTTTCTAGAAAAGCGCATCTACATTGGCCATGGACGCTTTTCCGGAAAAGGGGCTTTTCCGGAAAAGCATCCTGCCAATATAGACGCTCTTTTTCCGGAAATACTTATCACGGAAAACTGTTCTGTTTTAAGCATTTCCGGAAAAGGGTGCCAGTGTAGATGTAGCCTGGGAGTATGGTGTCTGGCCAGGAGGGAGGGTGCAGGAACAAGGGAGGGTGTTGGAGCAAACAGGGGATGCGGAGTCTTGGTGGGGGGAGGGGAGTGAGAGAAGTGGAGGGAGTCTGGGCATGAGGGGGTACCTTAGCTGGCTTTGTGCCCCCTTGAGCAATGGCCATAGCCACCTGGAGGAGGCCCCGCTCCTGCTGCCAGAGCCCAAGTGGTCTGGGTCCAGCCTTGGAGGCCCCGCTGCCAAGGCCCACGTAGTGCAGAGCCAGCCCGAAAGTGCTGCTGCTGCGGCCCACACAGTCCACGGCCAACCATGGAGGCATCGCTACTTCAGCACATGTGGCCTGGAACCAGCCCTGGCCTGCGTGGCTGCAGCAGCAGCACCTCCAGCCTCTGGAGCTGGCTCCAAACTGCATGGTGACAGAAGCAGCACCTCCGGTCCCAGCTGAGGCGCCTCTGAGGAGTATGAGTACAAAAATTCTTTTAAAGACAAAAGTGGAATCAGTTATCAAACTCATGGTCCGTTTTTGTCAATGTTGCGGTCACACAATTTTAAAAAAAAAATTCATTTATTTCAGATATTGTCATTTGAAATGTCATGGTGGTGTGATTGTTGGGGTCCTGATCAATAAAGGAATTCAGAGAGAGACGTTATCACAAGATTAGTGTTCAAAGAGTTTTGTTACTGCCACCATTCTGTACTGCATGCGGATCGGGGCACCTAGCTAGCAGCCACCACACTCTGGCCATCTTGCTTTGAAGGCTGTGCAGAAGTAAAGGTGGCAATACCACAGTCCCTCTAAAATAAGTTACACAATTTTCTCAGCCAGGCACTGAGGCCCTGCAGTTCTGCCTGTCAACCTGATCCTGCCTGTGGAACTGGAAGCATTTCAGAGAACACGTAACATTGAGGCCCTGGATTTCAATCTCTTACCTGGCAACCTAAATTTACTTCCAGGACCTCTTACCTGTCCTCCCCTGTGCCATTGGTACCTACATGTACCATGACCACAGGCTCGTCCTCAGCACTACACATAAGTTTATCTAGATGTCTCAATAGATCCGCAACCCATGAGGCTCATCCCCAGCACTACACATAAGTTTATCTAGATGTCTCAATAGATCCGCAACCCATGAATGAGACAGGCAAGTTACCATACGGTTCTCCTAGTCATCACACACTCAGCTGTCTATGTTTCTAATGATCAAATTCCCTATTACTAACACTTGTCTTTCCCTCATAACTGGCATTCCCTCCCCTGGAGAGGTATCCTCAGTGTGAGAAGGTATAATATCATCTGGAAGGTGGTTTCCAGTTGGATGTTCTTTCCCTGACCGTTCCACCCCCCTCAACAATGGAGGCTGCCTGACTGGGGGTGAAACTGTTCTACGGGGTCCCAGAAAGTCTCATCTATATACGTCTCTGTCTATCTTAGCTCCTCCAATTCAGTCACCCTGGTCTTCACACTCGGTACATCGTCTCTGAGGGCCAGAAGTTCCTTGCACTAAATGTACACATACACCACTTATCTGTAGAGCAGGTGATTCATAGAATCCTAGGGCTGGAAGAGACCTCAGGAGGTCATCGAATCCAGCCCCTTGCCCAAAGCAGGACCAACCCTAACTAAATCATCCCAGTCAGGCAGTGTCTACACTACAGGCTACATCTAGACTGGCATGATTTTCCGCAAATGCTTTTAACGGAAAACTTTTCTGTTAAAAGCATTTGCGGAAAAGAGCGTCTAGATTGGCACGGGCGCTTTTCCGGAAAAGCGCCCGTGCCAATCTAGATGCGCTTTTGCGGAAAAACTTGCCAGCTGTCTACACTAGCCCTTTTGCGCAAAAGCTTTTGCACAAAAGGACTTTTGCCCGAATGGGAACAGCATAGTATTTCTGCAAGAAGCACTGATTTCTTACATGAGATCGTCAGTGTTCTTGCGGAAATTCAAGCGGCCAGTGTAGACAGCTGGCAAGTTTTTCCGCAAAAGCGCATCTAGA